GTATACTTCCTCCAACATTACCCCAAGTAAAATATGTCCGTTCAAAAATGGATATATCAAAAATCAAAACATAAATCAGGTCAAGTATCATATCAGAAATCAGGTCAAGTAACAGATCAGAATCCAAGTCAAGTATCAGATCAGAATCCATGTCAGATATCAGATCAGAATCCATGTCAAGTATCAGATCAAAATTCAAATCGAAAATCAGATAAATATCATGTGAGTAGGACACACCAGAGTTTATGGATATTATTTATAGGGACTGGATAATCTTATAAGGCAGAGAAACATGGATCTTCAGTATGCTGATAGAATATTATTTATAAGAACGTTACATCATGTATGTTCATTAACGTTTCCATACTCATTCACATCACTTACTTAATCCTTAGTGCTTGAGGTTACTTAGTTCATTTAGCATTCAAGTCTATTCCAGTTACTTCGGGATTTTCCAGAGTAATTCCGGACGTTTCTGAATTTTAGATATATATTGTACTTTCGTTCAGTTTAGTTTGGTCTTCGTGGTTGATTTGTCGAACAAATATCCAATTCTTAGTACCGAATGTAATCTAGAGTTGAGCTGAGCTGAGCTGAATACTTCCAAAATTATCATTGAGCTAAACTTGAGTAGACGAACATGCATTCAAGTAATATCTATGTCGTTCAGGTACTGACATATTATTAAGGTTGATCGGCTCACTTAAGTTATGTTCCATAACTTTTAAAGGTAGTCCAATACCTATGCTTATTTGGATTCCTTAATTAATCCAAGGTATTTACTTAGTTTATGCCATAAGGTTATTTTGGTAATTTTGGTATTCAGTTTTATTCCATTTATTTCAGAGCTCGAGGATATCCAATCATTACTGAGCATGGTGATATTCTTGGGTCATTTCCATTACAGGGGTATTTTGGTCATTGTACAGATTTAGTGTACTTTAATCATTTCCTTCCGTCTGATCTTACTATTAAATTCAATCTTATCATTTATTTCAGTCCTTTCGAACAATTCTGACAACAGAACACCCCGACAAATTGTTCTTCAGGCATTTACTCATAACTCGGATATTTCCGGGTCAAGTGCCTTATCAGATTTTACAAACGGAATATCAGGAATTTTCCTGCACTAAGTCAGGATCTTAATAATCAAATATGTACTTAATCAAGTTAAGTACGAATTCTCTAAGTATTTTTTCATTCAGGGTTACCTCAGACTATTCTACCTCTTAAGGGCATTTCCATAATTTCTTAACCAGATAATTTCGATATTAGCTCTTAATGAAAATAATTAATTTAGAGATCCTATGATTAATTGCTTTCTTGAACACTCTCTGATCTTGAAATAATTCCCTTAACAGACTTCTAGTATCTTGCATAAACCCTCTTGGAGTTAAAAACCGGTTATCCATAATTTCCAAGTAAAACTAACATTTCTTATGCACATCAATATATTTATCAGATCAATATGTCTTTTCAGATTTATTAATCCACTTCCAGGGACAATTCTTATCATTTTCCAATATAAGGGTAGTTTCGTAATTTTACCCTACCGAAGTATTCTCATAATTTCCCATCCAAGTACCTTTAACATTTAACCTTTGATGATATAAAATATAATTTACAAATCCATGTCTGATTTCTTTATCACTAATCACAAACTTGTAATTTAATTCTAACAATCTTTCAATCTCTTATATTAGTCATTCGATCCATATTCAGTTACCGAATTTCTACCACATTCATATCGAGTGTATAAATTAATCAACTCCACAAAAGTGACTACCTTTAACATTTAACCTTTGATGATATAAAATATAATTTACAAATCCATGTATGATTTCTTTATCCCTAATAACAAACTTGTAATTTAATTCTAACAATCTTTCAATCTCTTATTACTCATTCGATCCATATTCAGTTCATGCATTTACCAATATCAACATGTTCCATAAAGCATAAAGAGGTAGTAAAGTATTACCTCGATTTTCCGTGCCATACTGATCGACCATAAAAATTCAATTTGAACGCCCTCGATCTTGAAATCATCTTCCAATATTTCCTCAGATACATATCAACATAAATTATATAAAAAACGGAGCTTAATTGCGATAAACGGATCGAATCGGGTGATAAATCAGTGAAAAACAGCTTACCGAGTTCGAATTTAGCGAAACGGACTTTAGATTCGGATTCAGCACGTCGAAAGCATAAAATATAACTTTTCGAAAATTTGGAATTTTTGGTCAAAATAAAAGTCAACGGGTTTGACTAGCAATTTCGAGGCCTTCGGGTCTGAATTTCGAAAAACGGACTGCGGAATCGGATTTGGAACTTCGAAAAATGTCAGGATAGGTATACTCGGTCGAAGTCAAAGGTCGTTTAATGCCCGGTCAAAGCCAGTTAAAGTTTTGGTCAACAGTGGTCAACGCCGGTCAACGGGTCGGGTCGGGTTGTAACCGGTCAAACCAATCCAATTGGTAAAATAATCGGTCATTTGGACCATCCCCACGCGTAGTGGCGGCGCGTGCGAGCGCGTGGGACCCCCTCCGGTGTCCTATAAATCACGTAAAAAATTCCAAAAATTATTTTGAGCGATTTCAAGATACTTACAAAGCTCGGTTCAAATTTTTGAACAGCGGAGAGCTCGATTTCAACAAATCAAAAACTTTGTCCGCTTCACCTCCTCACGCATTGCCGCCGTCGGAGACCAAGGATGATACTGGCGAACTCGGAACGGAACAAGGAACATGATGGTGCGGGAGGTGTCGTAAACGGATCATCGGATCGTCGTGAATCGATGAAAAACCAACTGAAATCGAGTTGTTACCGACGATACTTCCGACTGAAATTAACGACGAATGGCGACGATTCACGACGAAAGGTTTGAGGAGTTTTGTTCCTTGGTCGACAACGAACACGATGGTGGTTTCGGCTCGTCGATCGGAGGTCGGACGGCGAGTAGATCGGAGTTGAAAGTTTGGTCAACGGGAGAGAAAAACTGGGAAAAATGAATTTTGCAGCACGGGGAGGGGTTATAAATTCTCTCATAAATAAAAATGGGTAAACCATGACTTTAGTCACTGAACTTCCTGCACTTCTTAAAATGATCTGCCAACTTTACGATTTTATAATTTAATCCTAAATTTTCTTCCAAAATACCAATTAAATCCACCACTTTATAATTTCTAAAATTTAACCCCTAAATTGGGGTGTTACAAGTTCAATCCCTTGGCCAACCCTTTTTATCATTGTTTCCTTCATCATTCTCATCTTAAATTAAAATAATATGTAAACATTTAAAACTAATTTGTTACTATGTTATTGTATTAATTATAATATTTTTTAATTAAAAGATAACTTTTAATGATTATCTTATGATTTTTTAATTTAAATAATCAATTTATAACATTTTGTGCTCGGATGATTTAACTAACTTATCCTATAATAAGGTGACAATATGAATAGTCCGTTTATCTTAAATAAAACTCTGATGTTAGGAGCTAAAAATGTCAAAGATCTACTAATAAAATAGAAAAAATTGAACAACATTAACACGTTTAATGTTTTTAAAATCAATCGTTTTTGTCTATTTAATATTAAATAAATATTGTTCGTGGGAGCAAGTTACTTTTATAAATCATTATTAAGATAGATTAAATCATAAATGAAAAGATTTAATAAATATTGTTCGTGCGAGCAAGTTACTTTTATAAATCATATTAAGATAGATTAAATCATCAAAGAAAAGCTTTAATAAATATAAATATAACTCGTAAGGAATAAAGTTAGAAAATTTATTTTAGGTGTTATATTTAGAAATTCTATAAAGAATTTTTTTCAATAGATAAAAATTAACAATGAATATCAATTTATATTTAAGAGTATCAATATATTTTTTTGTTGCCCTCTCGGTTCCAAGGCTTCGACTTGACTATTAATTTAGACCGACCCACATCGCACACCTAACTTTGGTGGATGAGTCTCCTAGCCATGCACAAGGACTCGAACTCGAGACTTTGTTTAAACGATATCAAATTGCTAACCACTTGAACCAATCGCTATTAGTGAGTGTTAATATTCTTCTAAAAATATGTTAATTTAATTTTTTTAAAATTTTATATTAAATTTATAAAGAATTTTTTTCAATAATTTTTGTGTTTTCATATGACATCACTCATTGTAAGTTAGCCCTGCCACTGCCATCAGGTGACCTTAATGGTTAAATGAAATGTTGTTCTCCTTTGAAGTCCTGAATTCTAAACATATATTATTTTATAATCACATCAAATTATTTAAAATAAAGAAAAAAATAAAAATAAGCTATCAAATTTTTAGTTATGTTTTCAACTTATGATGCAAGTGGGAGTTGTTTTATTAATAAGTCTCTAGGAGTAGCTTACTTGGCTTCCTCATCCATATAAGGTTGTAAGAAAAATGATTTTCCCATATAAGACATCTACCATATTATTTCTTGAACTACGGCTTTTTATTGGTCTGAAGACGCCGTGCACTGTTAGGGTTTTCTCCATTTGTCTGAAGACGCTATGTAGTCGTGGGGTCTTCTTTATTTGCCTGAAGACGTCATGCAGTTATGGAGTCTTCATATTTGACTTGAAGACGTGTGAAACATCTAATGTCTTTGAGTTGGTACTGAACAATTTTGTATTTGAGTTGATACTGAACAACACCCTAGAAAAATAATCCCCAAGTTAGATTATATTGAAAATGTTTTTTCTTATATCATTTACTCAGCTATTTTCCCTAGTTTACTTGAGAGGATAATTTTTATTTTTAGATACGAATCAGACAAAAAAGACAGATTCCTGTTCTGCCAAGTTTTTTTATACGGGGCAAGACTAGCACGAACTAATTTTTTAAAATAGAAAAAGTAGTATAAAATCCATTGAACCTGAACTTTAATAAAACACAAGAAAGCCAGTTTTGCATCACACGTTTAAGCTTTCACTTTATACTGTTTCATTTCAATTGTTGCAGAAATGGAAGTTCATATTACTTCAAACCAGATGGTTAAGCCCTCCTCTTCAAAACTTCATCTCTTTAAACCCTTCAAGATTTCCCTTTTAGATCAACTCACTCCCGGAATGTACACTCCGGTACTCTCTTTTATGCTAAACCTAGTGATTCCAATATCGACAGTTCCCAATTCGCAGACCAACTAAAACAATCGCTCTCGAAAGCTTTGACTCAGTTTTACCCTGCTGCTGGTCGGGTGAAGAACAACCTTTTTATTACTAATTTCGACGAGGGAGTTCCTTATGTTGAAACCAAGGTGAAAGGTCGACTATCTGATTTCATTGAGCCAACTCAGAAACTAGAGGCAATGAACCGATTGCTTCCTTGTCGACCCTTTCGCTATATTCAAGACTCAACAACAGCACCCCAATTGGCTGTTCAAGTCAACATCTTCGATTGCGGTGGGATTGCAATAGGTTTGTGTGTTTTCCACAAGATCTTCGATGGAGCAACCCTGTCTGCTTTCCTTAACAGTTGGGCAGCTTTCAGTCGTGGCTCGAATGGCGAAATACCAAATCCTGGACTGTTAGGGTCATCGTCACGGCTTTTCCCTCCGATTGAGTCGATGCCGGAAAATGCCGACTGGCATAGCATGTTCTTCAATTACGACAGGCGTATGATGTCAAGGACTTACGTGTTTGATGCCAATGCGATTTCGACTCTTAAGTTGAAAGTGAAAAGCAAAAGCTTGGAGCATCCTTCCCGAGCATTAGCTCTCACTGCATTCATATGGAAACATGTCATCCAGGCATCTCGATCAGCTTCAGGAACTCTAAAGCCAGCTATTTTATGCCAACCCGTTAACCTTCGACCGAGATTGAAGCCCATCTTACCGAGTTATTGATAGGTCCCAACACAGATGATAAATTAAATATGCTAGGATAGTTGTTCTCTTCTGGTGAGAAAGTACCACAAATTGACTCAACAATGATTGATACTTCATTAATAATTCTCTTCTGCTTAAATAGCAGAATTACACCGAAATAAAAGGAAACAATAATAGAAATGCAGACTGACTTGCGGACTAAGAACCGAAACTGCTGCTCATGAAAACAGAGCCTAAAACAGAATAAAACAAAGCTTAAAAATAGAATGACACTAACGGAAATCATCCGCTTATGATAGGCCACGTCGTTCCACAAGACTCCGTAAACCAAATCCCAAATATTTGGGATGATCCGTTACGTGAAGAAGGCATGCAGCTTGACCTGGGCAGTAAGCATGACTGGGTCCGTCAGCATCTACGCAGGAGGCGCGCATGAAGTCAGCACGAACGCACGAAGCGGATGATTTACGTTAGTGTCATTCTATTTTAAGCTTTGTTTTATTCTGTTTAGGCTCTGTTTTCATGCAGCAGTTTCGGTCTTAGTCCGCAAGTCAGTCCGCATTTCTATTATTGTTTCCTTTTATTTCGGTGTAATTCTTCTATTTAAGCAGAAGAGAATATATGAAGTATCAATCATTGTTGAGTCAATTTGTGGTACTTCTCACCAGAAGAGAACAACTATCCTAGCATATTAATTTATCATCTGTGTTGGGACCTATCAATTGGCCTCAGAGCCAGGTTGATTTTACTATGGGAACCAATAAAGAGAGAATTGAACATCTGGAGGTCAGACTCGGTGAAGTTCAAGAGGGGCTACACCGGATGGAGCTGGGCATGGCGGATCGATGCGACACGTTGAAGAGACTCTTAACCGTCTCTCCGAGGTGCTCCTTGCCAACAAGAACCTCCAAACCAAGGTAATCAAAAACCGTGAAGGTCACAATGGGGGACGACTTGTGGTATCCTCCAAAACAGCAAAATTAGAATTTCCACGATTTTCAGGAGATGATCCTACGGAATGGTTCAACCGAGTAAACCAATTTTTCGAGTTCCAAAATACTCCCGACAACCAAAAGGTTTCTTTAGCATCTTACCATTTGGAAGGAGAAGCCAACCAGTGGTGGCAATGGATTCGCCGGACTTTCAAGACGAAGGTCGAGTTATTTCATGGATCGATTTGAAGAGGAACTCTGGGCGCGTTTTGGGCCATCAGACTGCGAAGACTTTGACGAGGCTCTGTCCGTATTCGGCAGACGGGTTCCTGCGTGATTACCAACGGGAATTCGAACAATTAGGCAACCGGGTCAAAGGTTGGACACAGAAGGCTTGGTGGGCACCTTCAGGGTGGTTTGAAGACAGAAATTTCGGAGGAATCCGTATGTTTAAACCACAAACTTTGAAGGATGCTATACGTTTTGCAAGGATGAGAGATGATCAATTAATGAGACAAAGGAGGATCTTACGACCTGGCCCTCCATTACGAGCTCCCCCAGTTCTTCCACCAGCAAATCGGGCAGCACCTGGTGCTCCAGTTCGACGACTGAGTTGGGAGGAAATGCAGCGACGACGTCTTCAAGGTTTATGTTTTAATTGTAACGAACGTTTTACTGCAGGTCATAGATGTCAAGGGCCCGGATACTAATGTTGGAGGGCTACGAGGACAATAACAACGTTATCTATGATGAAGTCAATGAGAAAGAAAGAAATACGGGAAGACACCAGGAGGAGATCTAGAACCAGAGATTACATTGCTGCATTAACGGGCTGGTCAGCGCCCAAGACCATGCGAGTAGCAGCTAGAATCGGTGACCACGACGTCATATATTAATGACAGCGGATCGACTCACAATTTCCTGAGTGAGCGTTTAGCTAACTTGCTGCGATTACGGTGATTCCAACAGAGACTTTTCCCGTTCGGGTTGCCAAGGAGAATCTCTTAGATGTCAAGGAAGGTCGAAGGGGTACGAATCAATTTGCAGGGCACTGTGTTTTCCTTAACTCTTTATTCCCTACCTCTCACAGGATTGGACGTAGTACTTGGGATTCAATGGCTTGAATTACTTGGTGCCGTGGTGTGCGACTGGAAACAGTTGACATGGAATTTTTATGGGAAAACCAACCCAGGAGATTAGTCGGCGTCGACGGGCAAGACATCCAAGCCGCGTCACTCAAGGAGCTAACCAAGAATTGTCGCCCCAGTCAAACGCTGTTTGCGTTATGCTTCCAGATCGCTCAAGCGGAAACACGATGAATATTCATCCAAGCATGCAAAATTATTGCAGGAATTTCTGATCTGTTCATAGAGCCCTCATGCTTACCACCACCAAGGGAAGTTGACACTGCATTAATTAAGGAAGGAACCGAAGCAATAAACGTTCGGCCTTATCGGTACGCACATTATCAGAAAAATGAGATCGAAAAACAGGTCCAGGATATGCTGCAATCGGGCCTTGTTCAAACCAGCACTAGCCCATTTTCATCACCCGTATTGCTAGTAAAAAAGAAAGACGGGAATTGGCGCTTTGCACAGATTACCGGGTACTCAACGCCGCAACCATTAAAGATCGATTTCCGATACCAACAGTAGATGATATGTTAGATGAGCTCCACGGTGCTGCATATTTTACCAAACTCGATCTGCGAGCGGGCTACCATCAGGTTCGGTTTATGTAACGCACCTTCAACATTTCAAGCTATCATGAACTCCATCTTTCGTCCGCATCTTAGAAAATTTATATTAGTTTTCTTTGATGATATTCTAATCTATAGTCCGGATTGGGACCACCATTATTACATGTAAAGCAAACCTTTGAAATATTAAGGCAGCATCGATTCTTTGTAAAATAGCAAGTGTGCATTTGGGCAGCAAGAACTGGAGTACTTGGGCCACATCATCACTAGTCAAGGCGTGAAATTGGATGACAAAAAAATTGCTGCTATGGTAGCCTGGCCACAACCCACTAACATTTCGGAACTACGTGGTTTTTTAGGCTTGACAGGTTATTACCGGAAGTTCGTCAAAAACTACGGTATCATAGCTAGACCTCTCACCAATCTTCTCAAAAAGGGGCAATTCGGATGGCATGAGGAAGCTGGACGTGCCTTTCTTGCTCTCAAACGGGCCATGACGACCACTCCTATACTGGCCATGCCAAACTTCAATGAATCTTTACTATTGAAACGGATGCGTCGGGAGAAGGCATCGGAGCAGTTCTATCTCAACGTGGCAAGCAGTGGCATACATGAGCGAACTCTCGGAGTGGCTAAGAAATCATGGTCGACGTACGCTAAGGAAATGTTGGCTATCATCGAAGCCATACGTACGTGGCGGCCTTACCTTCTAGGCCAGAAATTCTATATTCAGACCGATCAATGCAGCCTCAAATATTTTTAGAGCAGCGAATAGCAACTCCGGAGCAGCAAAAATGGGTCGCTAAGCTGTTGGGTTACGATTATGAAATTACATACAAACCAGGCCGAGAGAACTCTGCAGCTGATGCTCTCTCTCGAAAACAGGGCAGTCCCGTCCTTCAAAATATTTTTTTCCGCAAGTTAGCTTGTGGGAAGAAATTAAAAGAGCTGCAGAAAAGGACCCCTACATCCAAGCAAAAAGCCGTGTGGCCACAGAACAACCTGGAAGTTCGTATACGTGGTGCAAAGGACTCTTACTCTACAAAGGTAGGATTATTGTTCCAAACGACACAGCTTTACGGGCTAAATTGCTGCACGAGATGCATGACACCAAGGTGGGGGTCATTCGGGTGTCTTACGTACATTTAAGAAGCTGGGACAACAATTTTACTGGCCGGGGATGCATGGAGCAGTGCAAAACTACGTAAAGGGATGTGAAGTTTGCCAGAAAATTAAACCGAAACTTGGCTCCAGCTGGACTCCTTCAGCCACTACCCATTCCGTGCCAAGTATGGGACGACATCTCCTAGATTTTATTGAAGGGTTACCGACCTCACAAGGAAGAGACACCATAATGGTAGTTGTCGACAGATTCAGTAAGTTCGCACATTTCCTAACCTTAAGCCATCCTTTCACTGCAAAAAATGTGGCAGAAAAATTTGTCGAAGGCATTATCAAGCTTCACGGAATGCCCAAGTCAATTGTTAGTGATCGGGATCTGATTTTCATCAGCAATTTTTGGCAAGAATTCTTCAAGATGTCGGGCACCAAACTGAAGCTCAGTTCCTCATACCATCCCCAAACGGATGGCCAAACGGAAGTCATCAACCGTTGCGTCGAACAGTATCTACGGTGTTTTGTTCATCAGTGGCCACGGAAATGGTGTTCATACTTACCATGGGCTGAATATTGGTATAATACAACATACCACATTTCGACTGGAATGACTCCTTTCTAAGCGCTGTATGGGCGGTTACCACCCTCTATTCTGACGTACAAAGATGGTCTCTCTCCAGTAGACGAAGTTGACCAACAACTCATGCGCCGAGATGAACTGCTACGGCAATTAAAGGTTAATTTAGAGAGATCGCAGAATCGAATGAAGCAGTTGGCAGATCGAAAACGGAGGGACATTACGTTCAATATCGGTGACTGGGTGCTGTTGAAGCTACATCCATATCGCCAGCAAACGGTCTTTAAACGGATCCACCAAAAACTTGCTAGCCGTTTTTCGGACCCTATCAGATTCTCGAGAGAATTGGGCCAGTCGCATATAAATTAAAGCTGCCGGAGGAAGCACGCGTTCACCGTGTTTCATGTATCGCTACTTAAAAGCTACCAGCTTAATGAGGACGTCAATCGGGAGAGGGCTGAAACTAAACGAGTGGAGCTACCACCTTTCTCCGACGATGGGGTAGTCATCTTAGAACCTCAAACTATTTAGATTACCGATGGCTCAAGCAAGGGACTCAGCTGGTTGAAGAAGGCTTGGTGCAATGGAAACACCTTCCACCCGAAGAGGCAACGTGGGAATCAACAGCCAAGCTGAAGGAAATGTTTCCGCGTCTGGACCTTGAGGACAAGGATCCGCTTGTTGGGGGAAGTAA